TGAGGGAGGAGGTATGGGGGCAGGTGTAGCACTTCCTGCGGTTGCAGAGAAAAGTGCCGGGTGTGGTGGGGCTGGAGGGGAGTGTGGAGCGGACAAGGGAGTCACGGAGAGCGTGGTCCCTCCGGAAAGCAGATAAGGGTGCTGGAAAAGCTCAACATGTCTAACAGCATCTGTGCTGAGAAATCAGAGTTAACGTTTCGGGTCAAATGACACTTGCTCAGAACTGATGATGGCTAGGAAAAAGTTTTTATGCAGAGCTTAGGGTGGGGAATGGGGTAAGGAGTAAATGTCAGGTGGACATAAAGCTCAAAGACCTAAGTTTGAGAGACAGTATTTGAGTGTGGAATGAACTTCCTGAGGAAATGATGGATGTGGGTACAGTTACAATGTTTAAAAGACATTTACATAAAGACATGAAAAGGAAAGATTTGGAGGGTTATGGGCCAGGGGTAGGCTGGTGAGACTAGTTTAGTTTGGGATTATGTTCAGCATGGACTGGTTTGGTCAAAGGGTCTGTTTTCATGCTTTATGACTCTATAACAAGTGGACAGATAAAGGAATGGATAACAATCAGCCTAGGAGGATGAATAGCTACTGATGGTGACAATAGTGGCTAACAATGAATTGGTGTAACAGCAGACCTTGTGAATAACAAGGTCTGGTGTGTGGGGTTAGGGTAAGGACAGGGGAGAAGGTGCTTCAAGCCCTAAAATTGTTGAACTTGACATTGAGATACAAAGCTGTAGAGTGTATAAGTGGAAAATGAGGTGCTTCCTCAGCTAGTGCTGAGCTTTGTTGGAGCATTGCAGCAAGCCTGGGACAGAGATGTTGGCCAGGGACAAGGTGGTGTTTTGAAGTGACAGGCAACTGAAGCTCAGGGGCATTTTTGTAGACAGAACATGTGTTCTGTGAAGCAGTCACCCAGTCTACACTTCATTTCCCCAATGTAGAGGTGACCACATTGTGAGCAGCGAATGCAGTAGATAGATTGAAGTGGTAACTCGCTGCTTCACCTGGAAGGAGTGTTTAGGCCCTTGCATGCTGAGGGGGTAAGAAGAAAATGGGCGGATGTTATACCTTCTTTAGTTGCAGGGAAGGTGCCATGTGGCTTTGCAAGTGTGAAGGAGAAGTTGACCAGGGTGTCCCGGAGGGAATGGTCCTTGCAAAAGGCTGACAAATGAGGGGACAGGAATGTGTATATCATGGTGCCTTCCCACTGGAGATGGTGGAAAAGGCAGCAAATGATCCTCTGATTGTGGATGCTGGTGGGATGATAGGTGAAGACAAGAGGACTCTATCCCTGTTGAGGGAGGGAAGAAACGGGTTGAGGGGCTGAAGTGTGGGAGATGGAACCAACCCAGCTGAAGGCCCTGTCAATAACGGTGCTGGGGAATCCTTAGTCAAGGAAGAAGATGGATATTTTGTAGGCTCCCTTGTTGAAGTTGGCATCATCAGAACAGATGTGATGGAGACAGAAAAACTGGGAGAATGGAATAGAGACTCTCCAGGAAACAAGGTGTGAGGATTTATAGTCAAGGTAACTGTGGGAGTCAGTCGGTTTTTGGTGGATATTGATGGCTGGCCTATTCCCAGAAATGAAAAGAAAGATGTCAAGGAAGGGAAGGGAGGAGTCAGAGATGGACCAGATGAAGGCGAGAGCAGGGTGGAAATTGGAAGCAAGATTGATGAATTTTTCCAATTCTGATTTGAGAGAGAGAAGCACCACCAATGATATCATTGATACACTGGAGCGAGTGGGTGCGGGCCAGAATAGGACTGGAACAAAATATTTTCCCCACAAATAGACAGGCATAACTCGGGCCCACGTGGGTAACCATGGCTAACCCTCTGAGCTGAACAAAGTGAGAGGAGTGAAAAAAGAAGTTGTTCAGGGTGAGCACAAGCTTGGTCAGGTGGAGGAGGGTGGTGGTGGATATGGACAGTTCAGGCCTTTTTTCCAGGAAGAGGAGAGCCCTGAGACCACCTTGATGTGGGGATGGATGTGTAAATGGATTGCACATCCATGGTAAAGACGAGACAGCTGGTGCCTGCAAACTGGAAATTCTGAAACTGACGTAAAGTGTCAGAAGAATCTTGGATATAAGTGGGAAGGAACTAGACAAGAGTAGAAAAAAAAATCGAATCAACATAGGTATGAGAAAATATTACTATGAGAAGATAGTGCCATTTAGTTGGTAAATGGACTGTGATGAGGAGAGGAGTTGCTGTGGATAATGCATATTAGGGAGGGCCGCCAGTTAACTGCCAAACTTTGTTTCATGTTTAAACAAGCTAGTTTGACTAATTTGTCAAGAAATTGTCAAGAGAACAGCTGTCACCTATTTTGTCGAGTTGAGACAAGCACGGTATACGTGCATGTTTGACAAAATATTGAGAGACATTACCTGAAAGGTACTCCTGATCTGGAACTGTACCAAAAGGGTCTAGGAATATCAGAGTATCTGCAGATCCAGAAATAAATCTTAACCTTGAATGATTTAATGAACTAAATAACAGACTCAAAATTGTCAAAGATCTTTACTTTGCATTGTTACATATTCAGTCTGTTGTGATATTGCACAGCAGATTCAATAGTACCTTTAAAAAAGCATGGAGCGAAATTTATTTAAAAAGGCAATTGGATAGCTTCTTCAAATTTCCCAAATCAAAATGATGGCCTGAATGGCCTTCCTCCAAATTGTATAATTCTATGAAACTATGACTATTGTAATACATAATACGTACTTAGCAAATAATATTCCTACTCTATGTAAACAAATGTAAAACATTCCAAACAGATCATGACAGCAAATGAATACAGAACCTATAAAAATACAAAACCAGTCGAATAAACTACTGTAATTAAAAAGAGCGTTATTAATTCACTGCTGCAGTTGGCAACACAATTTGTGCAATATAAAAATAAAATAAATGTGAGCGTTATTTCATTAATTTTGAGAGGAGGGCCACTTGTTGCCATCTCCAATGTGCTATGCAGAGCAGACAGGAGGAACAAGTTATTTCCGAATCACAGGCTGATCTCAAAAACCTCAAGCAGTGATTGGTCACATCAACTGGCCTGGAGGAGTGGTGGGAGTAATCACATTCAAACAAAGAAAATGGGCAAAAGTTCTATTGGTCTTTGGAGATTAAAATATATTGCATTCAAAGTACCATTCTTGCAGTGAATCATAGTTGAATACATGTTTCAAAATGCACAGGGTCATCTTCACTTCAAACATTACTTGAAGTTTCATCTCATTCTCAATGTAAATTTCATTTAAATTTTAGGCATATTTGAAAATACCTAAAATATAGATAAATCAGTTGAAAGGACTAATATGTAGTATATAGATTTGTGACGTGTTCTAATTCAATCCAGTTGATAAGATGTGTCATTAACATTTATTTTAAACTTTTTAGTACTGGTGTTAATTTTCAAGTTCCCCTGCCCCCGCGGAGACGCAAGTTGATGTCAATGGTAGAATGGTGCTCAATGCCGTAGTGTGCCAGCGTGTGCCCATCTTCAAGTATTCTTGACTGAAAGGTCAGGTAGTACTGGCTTGGAGAAATACACTCCACAGATTGGATCTTATTTTTCAGGCTCAAAACCTTGTCAGTTGGGAACACATTAATTTCCAGGTTTTGTCCATTTGGATTCCTTACAAATATCTCCATTGAGTTTATCACAATTAGTTGGAGCTTTGCATGAAAGAATATTCCAGAATCCAATAAGGTTTTGCCATCATTCAGAATGGTTTCATTGAATATCAGGCGTTGATGGTGAACTGAAATGTTCTGGGCTTGATGGATTTGTTCCTTGATCATTGAGATTTTGGTGTCAATGTTGGCCATCATGTCTAATGAGGAGCCATTCAGGCTAATCACAGTGATTTTAAACTGCGGCGTTGGCTAAAAAGAGTTAAAGAAGAAATTTCTTTTATTTTGGGGCTGGAAAGGTGGTTGTGTTGTTTCAATACAAATACCGTAATAATTATATTTCTCAATTTTACTTGCCATCTCTCCTCATTCTTGTGATGATACTAGAACCAGTTCCTGACTTTCGTGTCTAACATTTTTTTGTCAGCTAAGACATAACATTTGTTCAACCATTTCACCAAGTCAGATCTTGTACTTAGCCGATGTCCGCAATCAAAGCATATGGCTAGTGGGAATCCCAGCTGATTCTTTCTGCACTTACACTCAAGTCGCTCTATTCTTTCCAAGTCTGAATCTATCATGGTAACCACCTATTCCCTCCTCCCTCCAATGCCTCCCCAGCTTCCCTTCAAATGCATCTATACCATTCGCTTCAACACATTCTCTTGTAGTTATACTCTTCCCCAGGAGAGATAACATTGTCTCTGTATCCACTCAATTAAAACCTGTCATTATTTTGAAGACCCCTTTGGTATCATCCCTTCAACACTCTTTTTCTTACCAATCCTTTGCTGACATGTATACAAACATATTTTTGGGATCATCCTTGTCAATATTTTCTGCACCTGCTCCAAGTGCCCATTTTATAATATTGTGACCAGGATGCATGCTGATTCCATGTGTGATTTACCCAATGTTCAGTTCAAGTTCAACATAACTTGCCTAATTTTTGACTCCATGGTTCCAGAAATAAATCCTTGTGTTTCGTTCGCTTTCTGGCTGCTGTTGCTAATCTGTGGAGCTTTCTCTGGAGATTGATGTAATTGCAATCCAAGTTACCTCTGTTCCTCTACCCTGCCCTACTTTCACTTTTAAAATAATAACTGACATCTCTATTATCCCTGCCAAAATGAAGCTTCATGTTTATCAGTGTTGCTTTCTGTTTGTCAATTATCTGTCTCTTTGCCAAGTTTATCAATGTCCTCCTGTAATTTGCTAGTGTCCCTCAGTCCTGACTATAGGTGTCACCGCAAATTGTTCATGTAAATTATGAACAGCAAAAGGTCCATCACTGATTTTTGTGAAATGCTACTTCTCACATTCTCTGACTCTGAAAAACAGCCAGGGTATGTTTTCTGGCTTGAAACCAGCTATAATCCATTCACCCAACTGTCCAGACTCTGTAATTGTTAATATTAAATCATTGTCTATTATGGGCACCGTACCAAATGCCTTTTAAGAATTATCATCTTTTCTCTCTTCTACCTGCTCCAAAAATGTAATGCAGTTGGTCCAGCAAGGCTTTCCCCTTTGAAATACATTCTGACTATTTATTTTCATATGTTTCATGTCTGGATCATCTCATCTCTTCTTTTGTGAGAATTCCATTATTTCTCCTGTCACTGAGGTTAATCTCACTGATCTGTAATTCCATGCACATATTCTATCCCCATTTTAAATACAAGAATTGCATTACCTTTCTGCCACTCCTCTCATGTTACACCTTTTTGTAACAATTTATTAACTGTGTAGATTTGTATTGCTATCTCGTTCCTAGACTGTTTTATCTCTGTGGATGCAAACCATCTGAACCTGCAACCTGAAAACAGAGTCCTTCTTTTATTCAATAGATCTCTCTTTTTGATCTTAACTGCACTCATCTGATTGCCTATCACATTATTCAATGTCATGTTTACCAGGTCTATCTCTGGTGCATAACAAAACGAAATAACAATTTAATGTTTCTGTCATCTCTATATTGTTACCTTGTATATTATTCTGTTGAACCCTAATTGGCCTTATTTCCATCATTGCAATTCATTGCTCACCATCTCCACCCCGTATCGAACCACAAACAGTGCTAACCCTAACTCCCTCTGGAGTTATTTTCCGGAATCCCTGGTCTTTGGCTAACCAACATCTGTTGAGTTTGGCGCTTTCCTGGGAGTGACAGGGAGGGTCTTAGTGCATTTGTATTGTGTGAGGGCAGGGGGGAAATCACTTTCAGGGTGAGGAGGGACAGTCACTTTTGGGAATGGGAGGGAATCTCTGCCAGGGAAATGCAGAGTGTGATCACTGTGGAGATGAGGGGCTGATAAGGAAGGGATCACTGTCAGGGATAACGGGTGATCACTGGAGGGGGTGGGGTTAGGGAAATCACTGATCAGAGCATTGATGGGAAGGTCACAGCTGTGGGCTGAGTGGGTTTGTTACGTTCGTTTGAAACAAAAGAAAATGCCATTGATGGGATAGTTAATTGTAGACACACAGCCTTGGGACATTTCAAAACTGAATAGAATACAGCATCTTCTGCCATGAACAAAGGGGGCCTGCTTTAACATTCCACGAATGTGCTGCTCCACATGAGATCCATTAGAGTACAGATTCACTCCACAGTTCTGAAGGAGCCAGGATGGGAAGACGTGGTGAAAAGGGCAGGGTCAGGTCCTAGTACAACGAATAGAATTGCAATGTCAATCTGACAATGATTGCCACTCCTCACGAAGATTAAGCTATAGAGTCCAAGCAACTGGGTACAGTCAGATAGATGGCCAGGTAGTGTACCGAGTGATTGGAGCAAAAAGGCTTACTGAAGTGTCCGGGATTACTCATTGAGTGAATATTGTTCATGCTATTGTAATGTGCCAATCAGATTCACTCTCTGATCCATGAGCTGGTCATAGCTTATATAGAAGTAGACATGCTATAATTTGACTGTGAATGTGGCCTACATAGGGGAGAAAATATGTTGGTCAAGGATACCATTGTTGATCTTTACCACCTTTGAAAGTACACTCATGTACACATGATTCAATTTTAATATTCAAAAATAATCAGATAAATAGCTGAAAAGAAGCAATTTTGCAGGGCAAAGAGGAAAGATTAGAGGAGTGGAGCTAATTGGATAGATCCACAAAAGCACCCACACAGGCACGACAGGCCAAATGGCCTCTTTTATTTGTTCCATCATTCATGATTTTGTGTCCACCCAGAATGAAAAGCAAAAGATCAACAAAAGACTGATCAGATCAGGAATTAACTCAATTTGTACATAGTGCCTTTAGTGTAGTTCAACATCCCTCATACCAGCTTTAGCAAACAAAATTTGACATAGAGCAACATAAGACATTGTTAGCACCAGTGACCGGAATTTTGGAGAAAGAGGTAGATTTACTGAGAATTTAAAAAGAGAACAGTTAAGCAAGAATTTGAATTTGAGGTTGGATTTCCAGAGCGTAGGGCCTAGCCAGCTGAAATTGGGGTATATGTGATCTAACAAAGCATCTTTGTGCTTTATGAATCATGCAAAGAACAATAATCTTTTACTACTCCCTCCTCATTGAGCAACCATTCATTATAATCACTGTTTGATATGAAGTATGCCATGATATTTCTGTAATATTTTACCTCAAATTTCCAGGGTTCAACATTCTGTGCACAGACTTGCTGTAAGCATTTTTTGGCCTCCGTTGCAACCAAGTCCCATCGAGCATTTCTAGCAACATTTCCTGTTGGATCTGCAGGGTCGAGTATCATCGGTCTAATTTTCAAACAACACAAGGATCACTAATCAAATGATGAATTTGTAACACTCATTCTTCAGATGGCATATTTGTATATGTAATTAATTCCTGCTCAGAACCCAGTGTCTCTGCACATAATATCTGTGCTACTTCATAAAGATTCATAAAATCTCTACAGTGTGGAAGGAAGCCATTCGGCCTATCAAGTCTGCACCAACCCATTGAAAAGCATTCTACCTTGACCCAGCCCCCCTCCCAATCCCTATAATTGCTATGGCTAATCCACCAAGCCTGTACATTCCTGGACGCTATCATACAATGTAGCATGGCCAATCCACCTAACCTGCATATCTTTGAACAGTGGGAAGAGACTGGAACATCTGGAGGAAACTCACACAGACATGGGGAGAATGTGCAAACTCCACACAGACAATCACCCAAGGCTGGAACCTGGGTCTCTGGTGCTGTAAGACAGTAGTGCTAACCGTCCAAAGGCAGGAACATGATTTTGGATTCTCAAATCTTTGCTCCTCTACCACTTCTGGGTTCTTATTTTCCAAAAAATGTGCGACCTCTTTGTTTTCTGTTACCCTGAAAGGACAACTTTGAATAAGAAGCCTTTGTGTTTCTATGTTCGGGTTCATGTTTTTACACTCTGCAATGAATTCATTATTCCGTGAAGAAGCCAGAGTGAAAGAGATGTTATTAACCAAATCTGATAAATTATCTGCAAGTTTTACTGGAAGGAAAATATTTCAACCAAATTTAACATTCAAGTGAATGTTTCCTTTTCCCCCCACACAAATGTGTTTCTCTCTGTCAGACCTCTACTGATATCACGCTTGAAGTAGCCAATGAGATGTGAAGGTAATGACTAATGAAGGCATTTTCCCCAAATGTTTGCTTTGCACAGCTGGTTCGTGAAACAAAATCCCATTTATTCAGAGCTCTTCAATTTGTTTTTATATTTTTAAAAAATTGCAATCTAATTTGAAGTATCAATGTCTTATTTGTGTACATAAGTGATTCCTGTTCAGAGCCGAAGAGCATTGCTGCCATAGACCTGTGCTGTTTTATAAAGGTAGGAGCATGATTCTTAATTCTCAAATCCCTTTGTTCCTCCACTCACTTTGGGTTCTTATTTTCCAAGAAATGTTTGACTTCATCATTTTCTGTTATCCCAAAAACTCTGAATAAAGAAAGCTTCCAAAAAAATCACCCAGGTTGGTACATTTACCAAATGAACCCATGTGGAAGTTTATAAATGCTTTGATGAGTTACTTTATATTTGTAATCTCCATAATCCCCAGTCGATGAACCATTGGGACAAGAGGGGAGGGATTTATTTCACAAAACAAGTTGGTAATGATCTGGACTGCATTACCTGTAAAAGTGGTGGAAACACAACCAATAATTATCTGCTAATGGATTTGGAAAAATCGATGTAGGGGAAACATTGGCAGAGCCTTGAGCGAGGAGCATTGGTATCAGACTAATTGAATAGCACTTTCAAAGATTTGGAGTAAGCATGAATGGCTGAATGGTCTCTTTTTGCATAATGATTTTCCATGTGGAACATTACTGTAAAGACAATCCAACTTGCCTTGGTTCTTTAAGTTTGCTTTTCAAGAAGTCAGCCACAAAACAATTGTCGAAGTTATAGTACGTGTTCCAGTAAAGGCATAGCTCTCTGTATCTAACAATCAGTTCCATTACTGTGCGGAATCCTGCAGCAGTATCGAAATTGTCTCCCCTACCCATGCTCTCCCATGCATAGATGACCAGCAGCTCCAGAGCATATTTTGGTGGGAGGAACTCTCCACTTCTTAGTTGACATTTGTATGGTCGGACATACTGTTGGGTTAAATAAAAAAAAATCAACACACGCTTGAGATCCTTGCAAAAGTATTGAAACAAACTTTACCGAGCAAGGTACCCTGTGCAAAGTTTCCCTTGAGGGGAAGAGAAATTAAAGTAAAAGTTCTTTAAAAATGTAAAGACAGAGAATTTGTTTCCACGTGCAGGGGAAGCTTTAATATAATTGACAAAAGAGGGAGAGGAGCAGAGGTTTTTTTATGAGTGTCGTATTGTGATTCCGAATGCACTGCCTTTAAATGGCAGTGAAAGCAGGTTTACTTGTAACTTTCAAAAGGAAATTGATTATATACAGTGTATGAAAAGTGGAAACTGACAGAGATGTGGAGAAATCACAAGGGAATGGGATTATTTGGATAGTTCAGCATGAAGCACAATTTTTTTTCTTCTGAACTCTATCATTCTATTAACTACCTGCAGAGGCCAGGGATAGAAAAGCAAAATCTGGTCACATTGACCTTTCTGCTGAATCTTTGTTCTACATGTCTGTTTAGAGGCCCTGGAGGAGAAACTCATTTGTGCAGTATGAAAGCCAAGGTTTTACACCAGTTTTACAGATAACAGGCTTCCATTTAGCTGTTAGTGCAGATAATATTTTACAAGCAAAGGGTTACACTTATTCATTCCTATCTCCACACAATCCTGGTTGCATAAAATGTTCTTATCCAATCATATTCAAATTTACACACATGATAATGTGATCCTTTCATATCATTACATGCCCAGCTCTCATCCTGTTAATATGTACCTGTTATGACAGGAACTCAAACTCTCATGTCTCTCCCATAACAATGGGAATAGAATCTTTTGTGTTTCTGGCATTAAGTGGTACAATTAGGCAGTCCTCCAGACAGGTTCTGAAGACATTTCACCTAATCAACTGATTGTGCCCAATCGGGATATGCTCAATCAGGAAGACAAAGCTTCCTCCAGTCAATCCCAACTTTAAAACATTTCTACTTATATGGATGTGCAAACACTTGCAATCGAGGTTGGATGAATTCCAAAAACCAGTGAAAGGGCCACACACATTTAACCGGAAACTGAATGCCATATATAAAATATATTGGCAAACTGGAATTCCAGTCAGGCCAAACTGAAAGGACCACTTGAATCGATGCTATTGTTTAAAAAAAATACAGGAACTGTAAAAATAACTTACCTGTTGACAACAACCTCTGCACTGAAGAATTCTGAGGAAGCTCACCTCCTGTCTCACTCATGTGATTTCTCACAAGGGTCCATAAACAGTCGTGAGACCCCTCATTAACTTAGAGAAGGGCCTGCACCCTTAGTGCATCGAAGTTGAGATCAACTAAATTAGCAGAGGCCAAATATGCACATGCATTGGCTGTGGAATCCCAGCCTTAAGTCTGTTGTTTATGATACACATTTTACAACTGACATAAACAGGAGGAAATACATCAACTTTCAGCTCATTTCCATACTCTCTTATTTCTTATTCCATTTAACCTCATTTGCATTAGAACATGGTCAAGAAACTGAAAAGAACAGGTTTATGACTGGCAGAGCAGCTTTCACAATGCACATAATTATTACAGCAAAGGAGGCTATTCAGCCCATCATATCTGCAGCAGCTCTCTGACTGAGCATTCTCTCAGAGCTGCCCTCTGACCTTTCTCTGTATGCAGCCTTGCACACTGTTCCTTTCCAAATCACATCTAGCTTCCTGTTGAATACTTCAGTTGAACTTGCCTACACCAAATGTTTAGCCAATGCATCCAAAATCCTAAGCACTCACTGCATGAACATGACTTTTGTTGCGCACCTTTGCTTCCTTTGCCAATTTCTTTAAACCTGTGTCATCTGATTCTCAAGCCTTTCAGAAGTGGGAATAGTTTCTCCCTTTCTGCTCTGTCTAGACCCCTCATGGTTTTTAAAACTGCCACCAAATTTTCTCTCAGCCTTCTCTTCAAGTAAAGCAGTCCCAACTGCTTAATCCATCTGCATAACTGAAGTTCCTCATCCCTGGAACCACTCTCATTAATATTTTCTACACTCTCTCCAATACCTTCACAGTTTCCTATAATGCAGCTCCTAGAAATGGATGTAATACTCCAGGTGATACCCAACCACAGACTTACGTAAGTTCAACACAATCACCTTTGTGTAAGCTTTATTGACCATGCTATCAAACTATCCTTCCATCTTTCTGACATATGTACATTGCACCAGGTCCCTCTGCTCCTGTACCCCTTTAAAATTGTACCTTTTTTAAAAACTTTTTCAAGTTTTTGTTCACAGTACATAAATAAACTTCAACAAAGTCCTTGCATCTACCTCTATATACCAGTGTTTCACAAGGCGGATCAGGTCCTTTAGTTTAACTGGATGGCACTTTACAAAGTTTCTCTGAAGTTCAGTGAAGCATGTTGAGAATTCTCCTCCAAATCCTTTGGCCTTAATCAGGTCCACATAAACCTGGGCATTTGGGCGGGTTTGTGTTTGCTGACCTTAGAGACAGTGAAGAAATGGTCTATTATTTTTCAGGTTCTGGACAATTTAACACAGAATAAACTTTTAACGATTGATGGAAGACCATTTTTTAAGGAAGAACAGGAATAAAAAAACCTTCAAAATGCTGCAAAGCTGAAATAAAATCAACATTCTGGAAGTGCACATTGTGTGGTTTGTCCCAAGAGTTTTGCAGGTTTCTCACCATTACTTTGGTAGGAACATTGGAGAAATAGTGAGAACGTCTGTTTTGCATTTCCTTCTGGAATTTGAGGAATAGAACAGCAGGACATTGGCACAATCTATGCATTTCTCCTTGATTTCAATGTTGTTAGACATACCAAATTCTACCTGATATGTCTAACAACAGTGAAATCAAGGAGAAATGCAGATCCCACGTAGACAAGCTGAAGCTGAAGGTCCTCAGTTATTTCAGTCAGACCAGTGTGCATTTGGGGCTATTCTTTTAAAAGACAGTGTAAGTGTAAGAGATAGTAGGAACTGCAGATGCTGGAGAATCTGAGACAACAAGGTGCAGGGCTGGATGAACACAGCAGGCCAAGCAGCATCATAGGAGCAGAGAGGCTGACGTTTCGGGCCTAGACCCTTCATCAGAAAAGGGGGAGGGGAAGGGGGTTTTGAAATAAATAGGGAGAGAGTGGGAGGCGGATAGAAGAGGGATAGAGGAGAGGATAGGTGGAGAGGAAACAAACAGGTCGAAGAGGCGGGGATGGAGCCAGTAAAGGTGAGTGTAGGTAGGGAGTTAGGAAGGGGATAGGTCAGTCCAGGGAGGACGGACAGGTCAAGGGGGCGGGATGAAGTT